TTTCCCTACTTCTGCTTCCTAGGCTCTCTTCCTCCTTCTGAGACAAACAGATTCGTTGCACTTTACACCTCATCCTAGGCCTTCCCTTCTTTCCTGTGTAGGCAGCCTCTGAGGGATTCCTTATTTCTCAATTTTAAATTAGAACTTTCCTAAATCTGAAATATTTTCCTGATGCACTTGCCCTGGGCTATGTGACCTTGGCTTTCTGAAAATGGCTAATTATCTTCTGGCTCAAGGGGAAAGAATGGTTGAGGGTGAGTGACAAGAAATACACATACATTCTTTGAATTACATTGTCATCTTTTTTTCCTAGAGCTCTACTGTCACTGGCTGGAAAAACTAGGAAGAGTGAGATCTGAAATAGGTGCCATTTGCTTTCATTTTCACAGAGATTTCCTTAAGAACAAATACCATCAAAGTGTGTCGCTTACACTTCCTCAGAAGTATCAGGGAAAAACCCAAAACAAAACCAGGAGAGGTATGTACTGCCTAGCTGCCCAAGAGAGAGACTACAAGCTTTTTTTCAGAGTCCTAGAGATGAGTGGGAAAGGAAATAAGACATTAAAATAATCTGAAAATTGAATGTATTTCACCTTTATTCTTTCCTCATCCAGTGTCTCTTGACAAAATACTGTGGCTGAGGACTGCCAGACTAGCTGCTGATTTCTCTGCAAGACCACTCAAAATCTTTTACATTTATAACTTCATCAATATTGCCTCTTTTTCCTCTCTGTTTTTTGTTTTATTTTGTTTGTTGTTTTTTTTTTCCCCACAAAGGCATCTTATTTCTCTAGTATACAAAAGCTACTTGGGTTTTCTCTGTTGAGCTGTTCTTAGGTTTTGTCTGTCAGTTATGATCCTTACCTGTTTTCTTTGCAGGCTCTGGCATCTTCACTTTTTTTCTGATGAAGGTCCCAGTTGCATCTAGAAAGCAGAGTCTGAGCTAAACAGGAATGAGGCTGCAGGGCTTTTGAGACCCCCTAAAGAAACAGTTGGTGGAAGCCCCCATCCTGCTCCTCCCCCTTTATCCCCCACTGTTGTCATCTACGGCACCTTATCAACAGCAGGACACACTTGACAGGCTACATCAGCTGGACTAAATATAGCCAAGTTCCAGGAGCCAGGGAGCTCAAGCCACCCAACACTGGCTACCACTGAGCTGTTGGTACAAACCAGAGCACAATCTGGTGTTGCACATGCATACAGTACATTTTCCAGTTCATGTGTGTATTGTATGAAGAATTCCTACATGCAGCAAACTAGACCTGGTAGTTGCATCTCCTGTATACTGGTTCTGTACTCAATTTCGTTATGTATCTGCTTCCATTCTTGCTACCTATTTCAGTCTTTTTTATTGTTATAATTGGGTCAGAACTGAACAGTCCTTCACAGATCTTTTTCTTCTTTCTTGTTTGTTCTCTTCTACTGAAGACTGTATTTGTAGAACTAAATGTGAACCTTCAGGAAATAACTTTCTTTTTCAGAGACACACACTACTGTCATTTGCAGTCACAACTAGAAAGCATGATACTACTTAAATAGTTCTCCCTCCCCATCCACCTACATGTATTTATTGAAAACTAGCAAGTTTGATTTACTCCACTTAAGTACCATTAAAAAAATTAGTTCTGAGGTTCCATTTGATTCCTCTAGAAGTTTTAATTTTGCTCAATTATATAGGAAAGAAAATTACTCTGGTATTGCCATTTCATGCTCCAGTGATTGCTTCTTATTTATTCATACACTTAGCATATGTCAAAATAATAACTGTGGACAATCATCCCTCTATTGGACCTGGTGGTCTGTCTGTTTCCTGTCACTTTTATCTGTCTCATTTCGAGTTTTGAGCTTTATCAGACAAAGTCTGTAGGCCAAGCATTTAGCACACTTCATCTGCCACTAGTATTTTAAAAAAAAAAAGTTTTTTCAGTTATGCTAGCCTGTAAAAGCATCAGTCTACAGGATTTTGGCAGGGAGCTCAGAACAAGTATACATGCAGCCCTTCAGTCACTGTACTTTGTGTCTGTCTTTCACATCTGACTCTCTGGTTAGACTGATAGGACAAATGTGAAGAATGCCTGCTGCTGCCTCTCCTGATGTTGGGCCAAATTCTTCCTCCCCTTCCCCTGAAGGAAGTTTTCACATATGAGTGAGGAAGACAGGCAGCATGTAACCTGTGTGCATCTTCCATTGCCTCCATTTCTGATGGAGCACAAGTTAGCTTTATATGTTTTTGATCACTACCCATCTGCTTGAGGCATTTCACTGGGAGTCAGGGAATCTGGGCTATTTGCTTTGGCTTGAACTCTTCCAAAGAGTTTGGGTCCCACACTATGAAAAATCTGTCACTCGATTCCTGAAGATTGTTATTCCTTTCTCAAATGTTTCTCCCTATTAGAGAGCTGCCATTAACTCCCTTTTCTCTCCAGAGCTGATCCCCAACACCCTGTTGGAACTGCATCCACATCCCTTCTGGGAAGACAGTTGTGTCCCTGCAACCTTGGACCACAAAGGGCACAGGAGGCAGAGCTGCCATGGGCTGATATGGAGAGAAAAAGAAAAGGTCTATGCTGATTATCCAGAGGTGGACTGTGATCAGAGTTACACTGCTCAACTTAGTTGCCTCTCTAGTATGTGCCCTTGAAATAATGTTTAGAAAGAAAGTTAGCTGACTAGGAGTCACTTCTACAGCATTTAAAACATGAACTTCTTGAAATTGCCATCAAAGTATAATAATCTCCAACAGGAATAATTTTGCCAGGAGAATTCAGTTTTGCAACTTCATCTTTTCTCCCTTACCTATTTGCAAATAATAGTTTTAACTGAAAGCCTGTATGCTATGTTCTGAGGGTCTTGATTTGATAAAATACATAGTATGCTGACCTGTTATGTTAGATTTGGAGTCAAGAGATTGTTCAGTTCTGAAGTTTGTTTCACAGTTAACACTTTAAGCCTTTATTAGCTTTAACTAAAATGTGGAAAGTAAGTGGAAATAATCCCATTTGTATGGGTTTAAAGGAATATATACTTATATAAAAACTTTTTAAAATGCAGGCAGGCAGTATTTATCTTAGCTTCAAGACTGTATTTGTTCTCTGGGAGTGTCCAGTAGGAGGTGCTTCAAAGCGAGAAACTTGGAATTAACTAAATTAGGGTTAATGCATATCTAACACAGAACTCATTCTGAATACTGATAGATATTGGCTTCAGTGCATCTTAAATATTGCTTCTAAGTTCATGGAACTCTCAGTAGTACTGATACACCTAAATACTAATTTCTCTCTAAAATTATAGTAAGTCCTTGGACTCAATACTTTCCAATAATGGTGATTCCACTATTGAAATTCACATGGTAAAAATAGGAATTTTATTATTGATTCTGAATTTTCCAGCTTTTAATTTGAATATTCTCTTGTCCTGGGAGAACAGAAATTGCCACTGAATGTATGAATGTTGGTGCTTTTCTATACTTTTGTCACAGTGCTTCCAATTTTTTAGGGCAAAAAATGTAGCTGTGTAAATCTTCATTAAACCACTTTCAAGCCTGACATTAGATACAGAAGCATTTTATTTGCCACTCCCTTATTGTCAGGTATTTGTCTGTAATCTTGTCAGGCATGTGTCTGATGATGGTGAGTCTGATGGTGAGTGAGAGGTCACTTCCATCACTTTGATGGCATTGGAAGGGTCCTGCTTCCTCCAAGGTGAAGGGGGAGTTCATCCTGCCATCACACAGCTTCCAGAGTAATTGTGTTCTTATGTTTCTCTGGAAATTTAGGGGATGATCGAAATCATGTTGCTCTTGAAAGGAGATGCAGTCATTCATTAGACTGACTTGTAAGGGAGCATTTTTGCAGGCTGATACCTAGGAGCCATTGTTTCTGAGGGAACTTGAAATAAATTTATGCTAAACTAAAAAATCTGGTATGCTAGGATAATAGATCTCTAAAAATACATGGTAAGATGATGCAGCATTCACATTGCATGTTAGAAATTAAAGATAGACAATATACTCTGCAACTCTTTATCAATACAGGGAGTACAGGGTGCAGGAGTTCATTCCAGTGATGCTTGCTGAAATCATGTGAAGAAGTTTATTCTGTTTTGCACACTCTCCTGCTTATTTATCACAGATACTTAGAAAAGTATTTTGTATTTGAAGAGATATGGGATCTCATAAGTGCCTGGGAACTTTTCTCCAATCAATTGAATGTGTCCCAATCTTTATATGTGGGTTTTTGTGTTTGTTTTGGGGTTGGGGTTTGTTTGTTTGTTTTCTCTGTTTAAATAAATATTCCTTATTTAGTTTGGTTTTATCATTTTCCTTTTCAGGAATGGATTGTCCACTTATGATGACAACTAACATCTTATTTTCTTTTGATCTCTCTTCTCAGGATTTAATTTTATTTGTTTCATATCCTTCTCACTGTCGATTTGATTATTTCTGTAAACATTTAGCAATACCATTTTAAATCAGCAAGCTGCTGGAGGGCATGAGTAAACGTGGACTAAAGTCTGTCTGCTTTTGTGTTCAAAAGCTGGAATTTTTAATTCAAGTGCTATGGTGAGTCAGTCCCTTAGCTGACTATTCTCCATAGACACTTCCCAGGATTCAGAATCAACTTTAATCTGTGGAGCGTATGAGTTATTTCTTCCCCACAATGAAACAGAACCACGAGAATTATTTAATTTGATGCAGGGAAATGATCCTATTCCAGTTGTAATTTTGCAACTTTTGTAGTTTAAAATGTTATTTAAAATAGTGCCTGCACATTCTACACATAGCATAGGGGTTTTTTTTCTCTGCTGTTACACTTCTGGTTACTAGGTGGCAGTATTGTTGTAACAGTACATTTTTTTTCTAGTATCTTCTACATTGTATTTATTTATTTATTTAGCTGCTTTTAACAACAAAATTGCTATGCAAATGAAATATATGGTAGTGATGGCTGCACAGGCCCCAAAGAGATGTGTAGTAGATTGTGATAACTGCTTGCCAGTGCACTGCAACACTAGACAATTTTTTACAAAGTGTGGGAAGATTCATCCTGTATTTGAATGAAACTGATATAAAAGTGTAGTGAAGCAACACATAAGAAAGTCTCTGGGCCTTTGCTAAAAAAGTGAATGAGAGGGACAAGGGTATCCTTCCTTGTCAGAGGAATTTTCTTGTATGTCTGAAATTATTATCTTGTCTGTGACATGGACAGTGGCACTGAGCACACCCTCAGCAAGTTTGCAGATGACACCAAACAGTGAGGTCAATTCACTGGAAAGGAGAGATGCCATCCAGAAGAACCTTGACAGGCTTGAGAAGTGGGCTTGTGCAAACTGCATGAAGTTCAACAAGGCCAAGTCCAAGGTTCTGCACAAGGGGTCAGGGCAATCCCAAACACAAATACAGGAGAATGCATCAGTCCAGAGAAGGACTTGGGGTTGTTAGTTGATGAGAAGCTCAACATGAGTGCTTGCAGCCCAGAAAACCAAGCATATCCTGGTCTGTATCAAGAGAGATGTAATCAGCAGGTGAAGGGAGGTGATTCTTCCCTTTTACTTGGCTCTTGTGAGACTCCACCTGGAGTACTGTGTCCAATTCTGGAACTCCCAGCATAAAAAAGACATGGAGCTCCTGGAGTGAGTCCAGAGGAAGGCCCTGAAGATTATCAGAGGGCTGGAACACCTCTCCTATGAACACAGTCTGAGAGAGTTTGGGCTGTTCAGCCTGAAGAAGAGAAGGCTCCAGGGAGACCTCATAGCAGCTTTCCAGTACCTGAACGGGCTAGAGGAAAGCTGAGGAGGGACTTTTCACAAGGGCTTTTAGTGACAGGATGAGGGGAAATGGCTTTAAACTGGGAGAGGGGAGATTTAAGTTAGACATTAGAAAGAAAT